TCCCTGGTCATACCTCACCACCTGCGACCACACTCTGAGACTAGGCTCTGCTGAGATCAAAGAGCTACGCTCATCTGGAAAAGTATTTTTTGGGGGATATTGGGAACATTTGCTCACTTTGCTGTTTGTCAACTGAGATGAGACACTTGATATGAAACGTGCTCAACCGTGTTTATCCCGCCCCCCCCCCCCGGCGATTGAACTTGGTTGTGAGCCGAGGACGTAGACCAATGTGCTAGAAATTAAGCTCATAGCGTGATTCACCCGGCCACCCCCACTCCCTATCTCTAAGGGAGAGATAGGGAGGGGGGGGGGGGGGTCGGAGGAAGGGAAGAGAAAGGAAGGGGGTGGAAGAGAAGGGAAGGGGGGGGGTGGCCGGGAACAACAAGGAACGGCCGTAAATCTTCGGATCACAGTTGTGCCTCGAAGGAATTTTGATTTTATAAGCAAAATATGTGGGTGGGGGGAAGGTGCCCCCCCCCTACCTACCCCCCCCCCCACCCCCAACCCCACCCCCGCCCACCCCACGCCTGGTGCCTGAACACAGAGGGGCGTGAGATATTATGTCCATAATTCGGCGTCAATTTAACGCCATCAGCGTCCATTCAACGAGAGTTCAACGCAATTCTTGAAAAAAAAATTGTGCCCACTGCGTCACGAGGTATTATGACTTGTGCTCAATAACTTTCACACGACATAATTCAAGGCGATGAATGATAAGTAACAAACTTGGCGAAACAATGACAAATCACAGCTTATATGTTTCCTAAAAGTATAACCTGCGCTTGAAACAATCCCCGGAGTGTTTTAAGCGTAGGTTAGACATGTATATGAATGAGTTTGGGGGTGGATATAAATAGGACAGCTGCCTCTAATAGGCCAGCATGGGCCTTGTGCTTGCTCTAATCTATGTCAAACAGTCTATTGTCACCTTCAGCTGCAGGAGAGACACAGAGTGCTGAACAGACAACTAGAAATACAGACACAGTACTGGAGACAGGCAAAGACCCCAGCTTTAGGAGGTGGGGATACGGGCAAGAGTAAGGAGGGAGGGGGGCGTGTGTTGGAGAAATTGTTGGAGCTTTGGGAGGAGGGGGGATAGGGGAGGGGGATAGATGAGGGGTAAGGGGGGGTTGGGTGGGGGAGCAGGGATGGAAGGTTGAGCCATCTAAATAGAGCGAGCAATGATGCTCAGATGCTGTGATGCGATAGGCGGGCGGCGGGTAATGAAGAGATAAGTCTTATCTTAACCACATCTTCACGCTCGGAGGGGAAGGGTGAGGGGATGGGAGGGGGGGATAGGGTGAGGGGTGGCAGAGGACAGAGGAAGGATGGGAGAGTGAGGAGAGCTGGTAGGAAGAGAGATGAGGGGAGGGACTAGAGAAACATGATGAGGGGGAAGAGGAGGTGAGAGAGGGGAGAAGATGAGAGGTGAGGGGAGAGTAATGAGACGCAGTGAGGGGGTGAGTAACGCCTCTTACCACGGCCGTGAGGGGGAAATGAGGTGGAAACAAGATTGAATTTGTGAGGGATTTCAGTGAGGGGTGTTGTTCACTTGTAGGAAGGAGGCGGGCCTTGTTTACTTAGCCTGGGAGTAGGGTGGGGTGGATAATGGGGGTGGGTGGGAGTCATGTGGGAGGGTGTTGGGAGTTCTAGTTGGGGCGGATAGGGTCCCACTCCCACAGCTCGGGGCTAAAGAACTTGGATCTAAACGAAGGTACACAGGCTTCATAATACATAATTAAATACAGACTAGACACTCCCCTAACAAGAGAAGAAAAACGAAACCAATTTTGAAATATATCATCGTGTCAGCAAGGCGGACAGCCCGCCTGCTATCATACCATCGTGTCAGCAAGGCGGACAGCCCGCCTGCTATCATAACATCGTGTCAGCAAGGTGGAAGCCCGTCTACTATCATACCATTGTGTGTGTGTGTGTGTGTGTGTGTGTGTGTGTATGTGTTAGAAAGAAATCAAAGTAGTAGACATAATAGATTAAGATAGATCGATTAAAAAGGCGGGGTCCAAGAGCTAATAGCTCGATAGTGCAGACACAGAAAGTAAATACAAATAATATTTCACATTTCACCTCACCATCATCACCATCATCAACCCCGCTCACAATCACCATCCCCTACTCACAATCAGCCCAGCACAATCACCGCAAAAACCACTTGGAAGAGCGAGCATCAAGTGAAGCTGTGAGAGATGGAGATGATGAGGCAGGACTCACTTCTGCTCTCATCTCCTTATACTGTCACATACTGTCTTACATATCTCTCCCTCCCTCTCTCCCTCCCTGAGTCTCTCTCTCACTGCCTCTCCACACACCCTACACACACACACACACACACACACACACACACACACACACACACACACACACACACACACACACACACACACACACACACACACACACACACACACACACACACTACACACACCCTTACTTAGTGTAGGGTGATGACGGGTCCTCCACACACCATTGTAATACTAAGAAGCGTCCATCAAAGACCATAACAATGGTCCATGTTTGGTCTCTAACTTCGGGCTCACCATAGCCCGTGCTACTTGGAACTCTTTGCTCCGAGTAGCGAATCTTTAACAACAACAGTTTAGTGTCCCAGCATCCCCCCCCCCACCAGATCACCGCGTGAGATAAACTAGGCTAAAATGTGTGTGTGGTCACTTAGCTACATGTTCTTCCAGGGTTGAGTGTTAGCTCCCAAGCCCAATCTATTCGGCTACTGGATGCAAAGACTCAGTATTTGGGTATAAATTGGATAAGTTTAGATTTTGGAAAGACTTGGGTAAATACTGGATGCAAAGACTCAGTATTTGGGTATAAATTGGATAAGTTTAGATTTAGGAAAGACTTGGGTAAATACTGGATGCAAAGACTCAGTATTTGGGTATAAATTGGATAAGTTTAGATTTTGGAAAGACTTGGGTAAATACTGAATGCAAAGACTCAGTATTTGGGTATAAATTGGATAAGTTTAGATTTAGGAAAGACTTGGGTAAATAGTGGATGCAAAGACTCAGTATTTGGGTATAAATTGGATAAGTTTAGATTTAGGAAAGACTTGGGTAAATACTGGATGCAAAGACTCAGTATTTGGGTATAAATTGGATAAGTTTAGATTTTGGAAAGACTTGGGTAAATACTGGATGCAAAGACTCAGTATTTGGGTATAAATTGGATAAGTTTAGATTTAGGAAAGACTTGGGTAAATACTGGATGCAAAGACTCAGTATTTGGGTATAAATTGGATAAGTTTAGATTTTGGAAAGACTTGGGTAAATACTGAATGCAAAGACTCAGTATTTGGGTATAAATTGGATAAGTTTAGATTTAGGAAAGACTTGGGTAAATAGTGGATGCAAAGACTCAGTATTTGGGTATAAATTGGATAAGTTTAGATTTAGGAAAGACTTGGGTAAATACTGGATGCAAAGACTCAGTATTTGGGTATAAATTGGATAAGTTTAGATTTAGGAAAGACTTGGGTAAATACTGGATGCAAAGACTCAGTATTTGGGTATAAATTGGATAAGTTTAGATTTAGGAAAGACTTAGGTAAATACTGGATGCAAAGACTCAAAAAGACTGCAAAGACTCTTATCAAGCCGCGGTTTTTCTTATTGTAAGCTGGTGACTGGATTCGCCAATTCAGTTTCATTTCGTTTCCCTTCGACTGTTTATCGTCAGTATCTTGTACGTTGGGATCACTACTACCATCCCCTCGCCACACCACCACAAACAAGCCTAGCGCTTGTTCGTCCTGGAATCACCAAGGCCCATTTGCATGACGGAGCGCTCAACAGGATATGAACGTGTCCTGTCGTGTACGAAACCAAACTAAATGTTTTCGGTGAATGACTTCGTTAAGTACACTTGTGACAGTTAATTTTACTACCATTGTTCTTAAAGGAAGTGTAGCAATTTGGTGATGTTGTTATAGTTCTACTTAAAGTAGTAGTTAAAATTATCTACATTTTGTACTTTATATAATTTTAAAAATTATCATTCACAAACACTTTACACTTAACAAGTTGGTCTTATTCTTGTAAAGTTTACAAGAGACTTAAGGTGCGGTTTATGCTGTGTGTGTGTAAGACGCGGGACTTGAGTGCCTATTACTCAAGTCCTGAGTCTTGACTCAACTTGCTCTCATGAATATAAGGGCAACTTGAGATAAACAAAATGGGTTGAAGTGTCTTGCTTTCGTTTGTAAGTTTGTTTGTTTTTGTTTAGACTCATCCAGCACTTGTTTGCTCGTTTGTTTTGAAGTGTGTTTGTGTGAGTGGTAAGTGGCACCCATGACTGACATTTGACAGGTATGAAAGGCACTTTTGACTGACATTTGACAGGTATGAAAGGCACCCATGACTGACATTTGACAGGTATGAAAGGCACTTTTGACTGACATATGACAGGTATAAAAGGCCCATTTGACTGACATTTGACAGGTATGAAAGGCACTTTTGACTGACATTTGACAGGTATGAAAGGCACTTTTGACTGACATTTGACAGGTATGAAAGGCACTTTTGACTGGCATTTGACAGGTATGAAAGGCACTTTTGACTGACATTTGACAGGTATGAAAGGCACTTTTGACTGACATATGACAGGTATAAAAGGCCCATTTGACTAACCTATAACAGGTATAAAAGACCCACTTGACTGACCTATAACAGGTATAAAAAGACCCATTTGACTAACCTATAACAGGTATAAAAGACCCACTTGACTGACCTATAACAGGTATAAAAAGACCCACTTGACTAACCTATAACAGGTATAAAAAGGCCCATTTGACTGACCTATAACAGGCACAAAAAGCACATTTGACTGACCTATAACAGGTACAAAAAGCACATTTGACTGACCTATAACAGGTACAAAAAGCACATTTGACTGACCTATAACAGGTACAAAAAGCACATTTGACTGACCTATAACAGGTACAAAAAGCACATTTGACTAACTTTGACTTGAGATTCAGTCATCCCGAGAGCGTACGCGAGCTTGGCTCTCTCGGGGCCCGCAAGGTACTTGGTCTGCTCGAAGGTCTTCTCCAGAGCGAAGATCTGTTGGCCGCTGAAGGTAGGTCTCGTGTGCTTCTTCTTCCCATCCTTGTCCATCGTCATGCCCGGGATACCTGCCGGGTGGAACACAGTCGGGGCATTAGGAGGGCTACTGGACTTTCACGAAGGAGGGGGTTGATGGGGAGGGGTGGGGGGGAGGGGGTTGAACTGGGGTGGTGGGGGGGGGAAGGGGGTTGCTGGAGGGGTGGAGGGGGGTTGTTGATGGAGGGGAGGGGGGAGGGGGGGGGAAGGGGGTTGCTGGAGGGGTGGAAGGGGGGTTGTTGATGGAGGGGAGGGGGGAGGGGGGGGAAGGGGGTTGATGGGGGGTAGGGGAGGGGGTTGTTGAGTGGTGGGGGGGGAAGGGGGTTGATGGGGGGTAGGGGGTTGATGGGGGGTTGGGGGGAAGGGTGTTGATGGAGGGGGGGGAGAAGGGGGTTGATGGAGGGTTGGGAGAAGGGGGTTGATGGAGGGTTGGGGAGGGGTTTGTTTGGGGGGTGGGAGGGTTAGGATGTTACGGAAACGGTGCCTTTTGGGGAATAAGAGATCCTGGAGCAGTATTCACCAAGCATCACGGGGGACTAGCACTTACGAAATCCGTACATCATTTTTCTAATCGTGGCGGCTTTGTTTACAAACAATGTTGGAAACTTCACAACCCAATTTTATTATTGTTATAAACAACTAACTAATCTAACAATCTAACAAATGTAAACATAACCGCCATGATCAGGGAGAGATGTACAGGTTTCGTAAGCTGTTGAGAAAGTGCTTGATTAATCCTGAATTAGGAGTATTTATGATCAGTATTTCCATATACCACCTGGAAGAGATATAAGGAAAAGGAGTTGGAATATGAAGACGGGAGGGAAGGAATGGTACCCAACCACTTGTGGACGGTCGGGAATTGAACCCCGATCTGCATGAAGCGAGACCGTCGCTCTACCGTCCAGCCCAAGTGGCTGGGAGCCTGGAATGATAAGATGACATGAATTTTCTCTACCTTTCTCTGGAAGTTCCCCAATTCCTCCTCTGGTTCCTTTCCTATCCAAGGAAGATCTCAAACATCTCCTCTGAGGTCAGAGATGACCTTTTCCACCCGTGGAAGGGTTCCAGTTTCCCCTCTGGAATCAGAAATGACCTTTCCCACCCGTGGAAGGGTTCCAGCTTCCCTCTGGAGTCAGAAATGACCTTTCCCACCCGTGGAAGGGTTCCAGGTTGCCCTCTGGAATCAGCATGACCCTTTGCCTTACTCTGGAACACCTACAGCTCCTCACGAGTCAGAAATTACCTGATTCGCCATTACACGGAAGGCCCCCGAAAGACCCCCAGAAAACCCATGAAAGACCCCCGAAAGACCCCCAGAAGACCCCCCCAGCACCTTCAGCGTGTCAGAGACGTCGTCTCCTCTCCCCAGATCCAGAGGGGTGACGGAGGCACCAGTCAGCCAGTGGCCATTCCCCTCGCCACCATAATTTTACGAGCGATAACCAGGAGATTCCAGGCTTGGCCTCCGCCCCTATCTCTCTCTTCCTCCCTGCCGCCCGTCCTCCCTAGCTGCCGCCCGCCCTGCCACCCGCATCATCTTCTGCCTCAACAACCCGCCCACTAAACACATTGGTCACAACAGCCTCCCAACAAGAGAGGAGGAGGCTTTGACGAGGGTGTGAGCACACATTGCACGTGCGTGTGCCGCCCCCGCACGTGCGTGTGCCGTCCTGGCACGCGCGTGGCACGTGCGAGGGCGCCATCACCCTCCTCGGGTAATGTGCCAGCTTCCTGGGGTCTTTGTGGCATCCAGAGAGGGATTTGGCACTAGTTACCACAGAGCTGTTACCAAACATGGCTTAGACGGGTTATCTTGAGATGATTTCGGGGCTTTAGTGTCCCCACGGCCCGGTCCTCGACCAGACCTCCGGGTGGTGAGACAGGCGGTGACGCACCTGTCAATCAGTGGGTGACGCCCCTGTCACCCAACGCATTTATCGCCGCCAGAGCGTAAAGCATAGCAAGCCAAGAGATGTCAATGATAAAGCATAGCATGTAAGGAACGTTGTAAATTATATATAATGCACTTCCAGCCAATATTCGTATCCCCCTCACCCCCTGCCTCCGAAGATGTTGACGAGAGCTTCAGCGGAACGCGCCCTTGTGAATGCGACACCCAACCGACCCAATAAAATAGTAACATGGCGTTTGGAGAGTTCATTTTGAAACGTCCTTCCCAAGTGAATATATGTAGAGAAAGAGTCGTGCTAGAATCACACACACACACACACACACACACACACACACACACACACACACACACACACACACACACACATATATAAAAGATATAATAGAGCAATATGAATAAGGAAGAGCGTATACTCGTGGCCCTCTCCGCCAGCAGTAGTTCCCACCACCAGCAGCTATAAAGGGGAGTATGGCACCAGAGATTGCCTTTGATAACACAGCAGGCTTACATGACTCTGGCTGGCTGGCAGGGTGTGTGTGTGTGTGGAGCTCTCTCTCCTCTCCCTCTTGCTCTCACTGCTCTCCTCACAGTTCCTCACTCTCCCTCACTCTCCCTTCTGCCCTCCCTCACAGTTCCTCACTCCAATGTCGCCATTTGACATACTTATATGTGTAAATATTGACATATCCTCGATTTTTTTAATTTTTTTGCTACAACTAATATCTATTTTGATTTTTAGTTAGCACAATGGTGTTTATATGATATTAGAAGAAAACGGGGGGCCAGGGGGGTTAATCTGGTTCTCTACCCCCCCTCTCCCCTCCTTCCTTTTCCCCTCAGATGAGAGGAAAATTAGAGCGGGAGGAAGATTGTGCGGGTCTAGTCGTTATCAGCGACACTGTCAACACACGCCGCTGGTAACGGCTCAACGACCCTGCAAACGACAGCACGTGACCCCATTAACGGCCAATTGGGTCGTTTGCTCGCCTTCATTCAATCTCGAGTCAATAGTGTATAAATATGTGTATTATAATGTGAGGGGAAGGGGGGGGGGGTGGATGGGAGATGGGGAGGGGGGATGTGGGTGGGTGGGTGGGTGGTTTGTGTTCATGTGTGGGCGGCCTGTGTGGGCGGCCTGTGGGCGGGCGTTTAAGTATAAGAAATATCTTGCTGGTATAACATTCGACCAGATATGCCTGAATGGCGTGTTTATAAGCTTGTGTGTGTATTGATGTATACTATACGTATATTATGCACTCAGACTCCAGTATATGTGTATGTATATGGCATGAATACTCCATACATATGTTTTATATATATATGACATGTACATGTCTTCAAACTTGCCTGGGGCACTACAAGCTCACAAGATGAGTGGCGCTGCCCAATAAACTCGCCCCTCGGGGCAAAATTTAAAAGGATATTCCACCTCCCAAGATTCCTGGAGATTAGCATTAAGTCGCCCTATGTTATTGTCCACTCTCGCACTCTTGTTAGGCCCTGTTTAGATTATACGTCACACAGGTGGTCGCCCTACTATAGAATAGACACAAATCCACTTGAACATCCGCAGAGAAGAATGACCAAGTTAATCCCCCCAGGAATTGGAAGCCTGACTTATGAAGAGAGATTAAGACCGCCTAATTTACATCCTCTAGAAAGGCGGAGAGTAACGGTGACAGCGAGGGACCTTTGACAAGCCGCCGGCTTCCTGTCCTCGTCGAGGCCACTAGGGTTAGTGGCCCTTGAGGTAAATCAGGTATATATATATATGGAAGGGGAATAACACGGTGGGAAATATGGAACCTGTCCTCGAGGGAGCCGGTCGGCAGAGCGGACAGCACGCTGGACTTGTAATCCTGTGGTCCTGGGTTCGATCCCAGGCGCCGACGAGAAACAATGGGCAGAGTTTCTTTCACCCTATGCCCCTGTTACCTAGCAGTAAAATAGGTACCAAATATGGAACCTGTCCTCGAGGGAGCCGGTCGGCCGAGCGGACAGCACGCTGGCTTGTGATCCTGTGGTCCTGGTTCGATTCCAGGCGCCGGCGAGAAACAATGGGCAGAGTTTCTTTCACCCTATGCCCCTGTTACCTAGCAGTAAAATAGGTACCTGGGTGTTAGTCAGCTGTCACGGGCTGCTTCCTGGGGGTGGAGGCCTGGTCGAGGACCGGGCCGCGGGGACACTAAAAGCCCCGAAATCATCTCAAGATAACATTGAACGTCGCTTTTCGATCGTATGCGTTACATGAGGCCAACAGTCCACTACGGGCTCGCCATAGACCGTGCTACTTGGAACTTTTTGTTCTAGGTAGCGAATCTTAAACAACAACAACAACATGAGGCCAAAAATGGTCGTACTAGAAAACGGAAGCTGCGAAAGTGACGTAGTGTCCCGTTTTCTGTTATGGGTCCTCTGGAAAGGTTAGGATAAGGCCACTTTAAATTTACCGTTTTCTTAACGTTGGGAAACCTTACGAGGAGGGACTGAAATATATCTCCACATAATAGAAAATAACACAATAGCTACAAATTCCCTTTTTTCTAAAAATGATTAAATTTCCTGCAAATCTTCGCTCAAACGTACAAAAAATGTGCTATTAAAGTCCAGAAAGTTCACGTTTTCTATCACTAAATTATCTCCAAATTGCATGTTAAACAAGAGAAAAATAATTGAAAAACCTGACGTCGTCAGTCAAAGTAATCTTTAGCCTAATTTACGCTATCTTAGGCCTTATATAGTACATATATGAACTATAGATATACCGCTATAGAAATACTGGTTTAAAACCAGGGTTGTTGATTTATGAAATATATAACCGGTTAAAATAATAGACGTGGGATTGTTTCAAGCGCAGGATAGACACATGTATGTAGGGGTTAGAGTATAAATAGAAGCTGTCTCGTGTGGGGTCAATAGAAGCTGTCCCTTCCCTGTGACCCCAGTAGAGGTCAAGGGTGAGGCTGTGGCACCAGTCAGGGTCACATGAGGTCCACCAGCGTGACCCTACAAGCCACTCAGGGATTTATGTATTGGGGGACTGAGCCGGGACGTGGTGAGAGGCACCAGGGTGATAGGGTGAGCGGAGAGGGAGGGCAAGAAGGGGAGGGAGATATG